TCATCCCCTCATCCAGGCTGGCCAGGCACCCCAGTGGGGACCCCCACCCTGATCCAGGACACCCTTCAGGGCAAACCGGCCGGCCCCCACCCGTGCACCAGGCCTCTATCCTATATAGTAAAAGGGTAATATGCAAACTGACCTTAACAGCAGAAAGACTGGGAATGACTGGTCACTATGACACACACTGACCACCAGGGGGCAGACGCTCAATGCAGGAGCTGCCCCCGGTGGTCAGTGCACTTCCATATGGGGATTGCCACTCAGCCAGAAGCTGGCTCATGGCTGGCCAGCGCAGTGGTGGTGGCAGGAGCCTCTCCCACCTCTGTGGCAGCACTAAGAATGTCCAACTAATAGTTTAGACCCGATCCCTTGGGGGCCTAAGCCTTTAGTCGGACATCCCCCGAGGGCTCCCTGGCTGCCAGAAGGATGTCTGACTGCAAGCTTAGGCCTGAACCCCCCAGGGAGTGGGCCTGAGTCGACAGGTGGACATCCCCCAAGGGGTCCTGGACTGCAAATGGGCGCAGGCCAGGCTGAGGGGTGTCCCCCCCAAGTGCACAAATTTTTGTGCACTGGGCCTCTAGTTAACAATATAATAAGTAAAACACCGTGTTTCCTTTTTTAATGTCCATTTCTTTCAATGATTGCTGGCATTTGTAATTATTTTTCTCTTTAACTGCCATTTCCTTTGTTACTCATTTTCTTAATAATTTATATCCTTTCTTTAAGAAATTAGCTCCCATTTGTATTGGAAAATTACTTTCTTTGTCTTTTTATTTGCTTTTCAACTTCATGAAATTTTTGCTATATAAAAAATTTTTTAATTTTTACAAATTCTGACTCCTTAATCTTTTATGACTTCTGGGTTTTATATTCTACTTATCAACTCCTCATGTAGTTTAGGTCATCAATTAGTTCACACATGCTTTCTTCAGAACTTTCTTTTTTTTCTGATCAAATTTTATTTTCTACAAGTGTATGTGTATATATAAATACCTAGCAAAAGCTCCTAGAAGGATATATTCCAGTCTACTAGTTCTTGTCTCTGAGGAGTGGGAGGAAGGGATGGTTAGAATAGAGAACTGTAATGTTTGGTTTTTACCAGGATAAATTATACATCTATTGCTTATAAAATTAAAAATTACAAATGGATTAAAGATGGATCCAGCTACATGTTTTACGAGACAATTGCCAATTATTTCAATATTATTTAGCGGTTTTAAAATAATGATCATCTATTCTTTGAAATATCATCACTATCATAAACAAGTTGTTCTCATCCAGAGGCAGTTTGCCCTCCAGGGGACATTTGGCAAATGTCTGGAGACACTGTCCAAACTGGTCAGCAGCAGCACTGAGGTTGAGAAACCCTGTCATAAACCAACGTTTCGTTTTCGTGGGCCTGTTTCTTCAGCTGTCTTTTGTTCCTTAGTTTGTCTTCTTTCATACTAAACTCTTAATTATTGAAGCTTCATAGTGTGTTTTGCAGTTCTGATGGTCCTCTTCATCACATTCCTCCCTCTCCATTCTCTAACCCCCACTGTAAACACCATCTTGCACAGAAGAATTTTTTGGCTCTCATATGTTTGTTTTTCCAAATGAACTTGACTTACCATTTTGTTAATTTTCTTCAAAGTTCTACTGATGTTTTCTAAGTAGGACTGCATTGAATTAGTAGGTTAATTTGGGGAATATCACTTTTATAACATTAACTATTCTTAGCCAAGAATATGGGATATCCTACTTATTGAAATTAATTTTATGTACCTATTTAGATTTGAATAGGATCTATGCATGTTGTTTCTTTGTACCTAAGTATTTTATCAGTTTTTTTCTCACGTTGTATTTTCTAGTTATTTTA